ATAGTGGCGTGCACCCGGGACTGCATACACATGTTCTAAATGTTTGCCGTTTTTGGCTGCAGCAAAAGGAGAGACAGGGAAAATAAGTTGTGTTACCGACTGCCAGCCGTCCTTACTTCACACGGCTCAAAAACAGAAGAAATCTCAAAGAAACGAGAGAGAAATGGCACAACCATACGCAACAACAAAAAACTAATAGCCCCCAGAGCGCCCGAATATGCTCGGATCATTTCATTTCTGCTAAGTGAAATCAATTTGATGGCGGATTTAGTGTTATTCCAAAACAAACAGAAGTTTAAGGATAAAACATATCTGTCTGACTGCAACGTGGGGTTGCTCCATAGACTGTAGCTTAGCTTGTAGCATAGCTGTTATATATTTGGTCTCACACAGGACCTGACCCGGTTCACAGGGTATCTGACTTACCGAAGGCCAGCAGACATGTGAACGACTGAGCCGTGCTCCAGGGTGCCCCGTACTAGTATTTATTAATAAAATATACGGCTCCTCACAGTAGACGCAGAAAGCTCAATTGATTTGAATGTAATCTCATTATTTCCACTGCAGTGTAGCCACACATAGATCAATGGTGTAACAATAAACACATTAAATGTTAATCGGAGAATACATTATACATATACATTCTTAATACACGTGCACAGAGGTTTTTAGAATTTTCTGTTCACGTTTTCATGAAAAAACACTGTTTTAATGCGACAATATGCGACCGCGGTAAACCTGGATGTAACGAATACATTTTAGGATGCATTTTCAGAGGATCTGATTCATGAATTTAGGTTGAGTATATATTTGGGTCACTAACTGCAGAAGTTTCGAATTCTCTGTTCAGTTTTCATGTAGTTCGAGAGAGTTCTAGTTTTGAACGTCCAGTTATAGATAGCTAGCAGGGCTGTTACTCGCCGAGGTTGTCCTCCAGTATGGCTGCCGTGGCTGCTAGTCACGTGACCGTAGGATCCCTCTATTGGAATTGTGACCCCATCAGTTGTTTAAAACCAAAACATTTCTGACAAAATTCTTTCATGTCAACGTGCTCCCTGTGAGATTCGAACCCCGGTCTCCCAGGTCCAAGCCCTGCTTCCCTATCAATGAGCCAACCAGCTGATACTACAGTACTCTCCATCACTGACTACATTAATCACCAAGACAAACACACAGTTTAAGCGGATCTTCTGCAGTACTTCATGAATCGCTCCATTTCCTGTGCTCCCGAGGCTTCAAACGTCATTGGTGACGTCATTCATCTAAAACAACTCAGGCTTCGGCCCGCGCTCCGATAAAAACATCAGGGATTTCTCGGCTCACGCCCCGAAGCGCCGACGCGGCACGACCCATCACTAATAACTATAACAACAAACCCACGATCGTCAGGGCTCTGGCTACAGTTATGCTAATATCTAGCTAGTATGCTAATATGTTTATTAGTATAGCTAATATCTAGCTAGCTATGTATCTGAATGAGTTTGTACGAAATCTAGAGATGCCTTTTAAGGAAGCTTACAACATGCTTTTGGGGTTTTAAAATCTGTATTTTTTTTATTTATTTTTTGGAGGATTCATACTTCACAGCAGCAGCAAAAACACATATTAAACATGACAAACAGCCGTATCAGGTGCTCATTCATAAACTGGACTGTTTTATCTCCTTAGATAAGCAGTGTGTGTGTGTTTTATGGACGTACAAACATGAATCTATCTGAACAAACAGGAGGCTCCACACCTTCCACAAACCACTGCAATCACAAAGTCAGAACCTGCGGCGAATTCTTGGAATTTGAACACAAAAAAACTTTATGTTAAAGTCTAGTACATATTATACTGTATGTGTTAAAACCCTTCTCTCAGCTGAGCTATGAAAAACTATGACTGGAGTCTGTCTTTTGAGAAAATCACAAGACACACCGCTTTAGGAAATGATGCCCGCGCACTACTGCCGCTGTCCACCAGAGGGCGTGCACGTGACATATTTCTATTTAAGAGATTATTATGTCTTTTTAATTGCTTGCCACAAATATGCTCTCCCACCAAAATGCCAAACATCTAAATGACTGTATGTGCTGCATCATGGCTGGTTCAAGCAACTGCTACAAAACAATGTGAAAATAGAACGGGTACTTACCTTTTTGTCTGTAATTATTGATGCACGCTTCATTGCAGGTTACTTCTTTTGCAAATTAAAAACCATGGGGTCAGATGTATTAAAGATTCGGGGCCACACACACAGAGATGCACACTCACACACACACACAACAGTTACAGACAAAGGTTCCATCTAAATGTGTTTAAAATGCTTCCTTTCCAAGCTCTTCCTGCTTTTTTATAAGGACATTTTTTTGCATTGCTGAGTAAGTAAGTCATCTTTGATTATATAGCGCATTTTTACAGACCAAGGTCACCCAAAGCGCTTTATAATGTTCAGAATTCAGATATTTTTACATTCTCTCCACACAGTGATGACAGAACACACTGGTCCATCAAAACCTCCGACCAAACACCATCCATTCACTCACTCATCACATTCATGCGTATTGAACATGCTTTTAGTGGTAGGGGAAACCGGAGCACCTGGAGGAAACCTAAGCAGACACTGGGAGACCATGCGAACTCCCCTCAGGAAGGCCCTGTTCTGGCCCGGGATTCGAACCCAGGACCTTCTTGCCGAGACTTGAGCTATTGTCTCATAAAAGGTACATTATAAAGCACAAGGAGGATGAGGAAGGAGGTCATTTGGTTGAAATGGGATGCAGCCAAAGTCGTGTCCCGTGCGGCTGTGGGCAGTGACTCATGTGTTTGGGAGCTGAGGCTGAGTCAGAGGAGAAAGGTTGGAGAGAAAAGACTAGAACCCAAATACTCAGCTTTTGTAATAAGTTTATTAATATACATTTGAGTTGATTTGAATGAAACTAAAGTAATAACGAAGGAGTTCAGATGCATCCATTCAGGTTTTTGAGGATATATTCTGTCACCTGAATTTCTCCTAAGGGGGATCAATAAAGTATCTATCTATCTGTGTATCTATCTATCTGTGCGATCGAAAACTGCAGTGTAACAATTTGAAGAGTAACTATATTCTGTATACCCTCAAAAAGTACTCAAAAGTATTCTATAAGTATTCTATTCTCCCCCAACACTGTCTGGGCTCTATCGGCTCGGAACATGAAGTAAAATATGTGTTTAGTTTCCGTCTGTTCACACTCACAAACACTCATTCACTGTTTTTAAAATTGTACATGATGCCTTTAGTGGTAGGGGAAACGTAGCACCCAGAGGAAACCTATGCAGACACAGGGAGAACATGCAAACTCTGAATGTGGTTCTAGAAATGTGACACTTTGATTATTTGGTTTTTCTAACATTATCTTATTCTCTGTATAGAATAAATATGACTTTACTCCTGAACACCGCTCTTTTTAAGTAAGTAAGTAATATTTATTTATATACCGCCTTTCACAGTCACAAAGCAATTGTTATATTTTTGTTTTGTTTTTTTAACCATCATTTTATGTGATTGGTTTGAACAACAAGATTTGGTGCAGAACGTTTTTGTAACTTAGAAACTGGTAGTAAAAAAATATCAATACATATTTATTTTCATGTTGTGTTTTATATGAAATGTTTGTATCGTGAAACACAAGGAAAGGAGAAGCAGTCCCTGTTCAATACAAAATAAAATCCAGCACAATGATACTATAAAACTATAAAAACAATGTATCTATAGTTTTACTTATAATTCGAGACACAGTTTCCAAATGTTTTGATGCATTTGAATATTTCCAGAGTTAAAAACCTGCAGATGTTTAGGGACAGAAAACTTTCATTTCCTTTCGGATAAACAAATCCCTCCCTTTGGCAAAGTCACGACTGAAGAACTCCTCCACAGCGTCTGCAGCAGCACATTATAATACTCTAGAATACTCTATAATACTCTATAGTACTGTATAATACTCTATAATACTGTATAATACTGTATAATACTCTATAATACTCTATAATACTGTATAATACTCTATAGTACTGTATAATACTCTATAATACTGTATAATACTCTATAGTACTGTATAATACTCTATAATACTCTATAATACTGTATAATACTCTATAGTACTGTATAATACTCTACAATACTCTATAGTACTGTATAATACTCTAGAATACTCTACAATACTCTATACTTGGACCTGGATATTTACCATGTGGGGTTTTCTCCATAGTCATATCTGGACTTGGATATGTACCATGTGGGGTTTTCTCCATAGTCATATCTGGACTTGGATATGTACCATGTGGGGTTTTCTCCATAGTCATATCTGGACTTGGATATGTACCATGTGGGGTTTTCTCCATAGTCATATCTGGACTTGGATATGTACCATGTGGGGTTTTCTCCATAGTCATATCTGGACTTGGATATTTACCATGTGGGGTTTTCTCCATAGTCATATCTGGACTTGGATATTTACCATGTGGGGTTTTCTCCATAGTCATATCTGGACTTGGATATTTACCATGTGGGCTTTTCTCTTCGTACACTCGCTGTTAAAGTAGGAAAACCTGCACAATGAATCTTATCTACTTTATCTTTTGAAGCGGACCATAAAAACAGTGCTAACAAACCTCTGCCTCAGAAGCAAACATGTTTAATGGTACTTACACAACCAGAGATGGCTTTAATTATGCTGCGGTGAAACCAGGGAGGACCCAAACCAAGCCAAACTATACTTTACACACAAGCTATCATTAACCTCATGTTATCGGCTCTAGTCCCAAAGTACCACAGAAGTACGTTTTACAACTAGTAAAAGGCTAAAATGTGACTAAATGTAATGTTTTTGTTATCATTTTGAGCATTTTTGAATATCTTTGAACTTCTGCCACGTTTTTGCATCTGTGACTCACTTTGGGGTTGTGTAAAAAGTCTCTGTGGGTTTGTTGTTGTTTATTACCAAAGCAACAATGCCGTGTTTCTTCAGAGGAAAACTAAAATGGCAGGAAAACAACGGGGGACACAAAAAGAGAAGGAGGAGAGGAAGAGGAGGAGGAGAGGAGGGAGGGAGCAGGGTGTGGCGAGGTATAAAACATGTGCTGCATCCTCTGCTGCCATCACAGACCCACCAGAACTCACCAGTCCAGCACCAGAACTCACCACTCCAGCACCAGAACCACCCAAAGTCCACCCAACCAAGGTGAGGAGATTACAGCAGCCGTTTTTCTAATAACACACGGGATTTTATAGATACAGCAATGCCAAAAATCAATATGTACAACTCTTAGGATTCATATGGGATAAAACTATTGCTTGTGCTCGGTACCGGAGCTAAAAAAAACCCTGAAAAATAGTTGTGGTAAAAATACAAAATGTAAAACTATTGTCCGTGAAAACAACTTCTAGACTGAAGGTTAGCAGCTGTGCCCAAGTAAATCTGTGTTTTTGTGAAATAAAATGGGATTTTCTTGAAAGTATGTATAACTTTACGGTTTCATATGGGATTAAACTATTGGTCTGGCTCAGTATTGGAGCTCAAATACGTAAAAATAGTAAAAATATAAAAACTGTTGTCCATGCAAACCACTTCTAGCAGCTGTGACCAAGTAAGTTTGTGTTTCTGATCAAATATGTGTTTTTATAGTAGCTGAAAAAGATGGAAAATGCAGTCAGTCTGATGCTAATGACAATAACTGGCTTGATTCTTAAACATAACTTTGTAATTTTTGCACTGCACTAATTGGAAATGATCAAAATATTTCCAGTCAAATGCACAGGACATCTCTAACCATACTGTGTTTACCGCCATTGTTTTCCCTTCAGAGCCCTCCCCCTTCCTCACCTCTACTCCCCCGGCTCCAGTATCATGCACGGAAAGACAATAAAAAAAACGTTCGCTTTGGGGACGTTAAAGGTTCAAGTCCTGGCTTGGGTCTCACCGGATATGGGGGTTATGGAGGATGCAGGGGTTGCCATGACGTTGTGATGTGTCATGTATGTTAGAGGCCGAAGGCAGATGCAGTGACGCTCACGGAATCCCAGTGGAAATAAGTCTATTTTTGTGGCATGGAAAACGGCTGGTGCTGGTGCAGAGTGGCCCCTGGCTCTGCTGTGGTAGTGCCAAGTATTACCGCGTCTCCTGTGGTATGTAAGAGTGGAGTTAGAGTGAGAGAAATGGCAAAAACTTTACACGCAGATGCAAAAGTGTGTATCTATAGCTTCAAAAGTGGACTGGGAAGTGTGTCTAGAAGTTAAAAAAACAATGCAATCTAATATACAGGCTGCAATGGGAGGAAAAAAGGGCTAAAACTATTCACATGATTCAATTAAAATGTTTTTCATCCACGAATGAAGCTGAGTCATAGTTTACTCCCGTGCCCACTCCTTCCTCCAGAATAACTCAGATTTCTGTCGCCTCTTGAGCCACTCCCTGCACTCTGCTCTAAATGATGTCCTTTGTAAACTTTACCAAATCTGACCACAGCACATGATTCAAATATGTGGAAGTTACCGACCCCGGCCGCTAGAGGGCGCCAGAGCAGCGTTGAGAAGTCACTACGATGGTCGTTTTTAAAAATACAGAGAAAGGACTAAGGCGAGTTACGTGACATTTAAGATGCTTGACGTTTATCTTAATTAAATGTATTTAAAATAAAAGTATGAATTATGAATTGATGGTACTGTCACTGTAGAGCCACTAGGGGGAAGTGTGTGATAAGACCTACATAGCTTTCCGTGATTATTATACATATTGGGGAAGAATTCATATTTTCTGTTGATAGATTATTTTAGCGAATAGTATTTAATACATTTGACGAGATACACATCTTCATGGAGACTAGACTTTGGTTGTTTGAGTAGAAATACTTAAAAAAAAAACAATTCCATGTCCTTCTGTAGTAATTATGGATCTGCCGGAGTCATAAAACCACTCAACAGTTTATGGTGCAAATTATGTTAAATTAAATACCAATTAGGACCTTCTTACCATTTAATTTTTTTCTTTTAAATGTATTTGTTGTTTTTCAGACTTGCATCATGTCAGACATCCAGCAGGCCATGGCTCTCCTCATCTCTACCTTTAATAAATATTCAGGCAAAGAAGGAGACAAATACACCCTGAGCAAGAGCGAGCTGAAGGAGCTGCTGCAGAACGAGTTCGGAGATTCGCTTGGTGTAAGTCACATCCAATAAATACGTACAGTATAATAATAGCAATAAGAATAAATCGGTTTTATACAGCACTTTTCAGGACACTTCACATGTCATTAGTCTCACTCACTTTCTCTCTCTGTCTAATGTGGGTGAAGTGTCTTGCATTAGGATACAACCACAGTTTGGCACTTGACAGCTGCCGTTCCCATAGGTCTCCCATCTCAATACTAACCAGGTCCTACCCTGCTTAGCTTCAAAAATCTGACATGATCTGACTTTTGCATGCATATATACCAAACTTCACCATATTTCCACGGCAACCACAGATTTAACTCTTACGTCCCATGACCCAGCAGGTTTATCCACAGCTGTTGGTGTCCCAGGCTACTGTAGCCACAGCTGCCCTGGGGCACTCGGACAGAGATAGAAATCCTGGTTTTAGTCTTTGTCGTTAATGATTTGAGAATGATAACGAGACCTTTTTTAGTTCTGCGCCACATGGTACTTTACCAGTGAGATTAACTCCACGCGGTGAGTTCTGGCGCCCGGATCACAGACTTTCTGATTGGTGAAACGGTGGAGGGCGGGACATCGGAATGAAAACAATAACAAGATTTAGGGGCTGGAAAACTAATTTAGAAATTCAAATATCTCTGAACTACTGTTATCAGTTAAAGAAGTATTGGAAAAGGGCACGTTTTATTAATACCCTTCAATGATGACAGATTAGGGCCCTTTAATTATGACAGATTAAGGCCCTTTAATGATGACAGATTAGGGCCCTTTAATGATGACAGATTAGGGCCGTTTAATAATGACAGATTAGGGCCCTTTAATGATGACAGATTAGGGCCGTTTAATAATGACAGATTAGGGCCCTTTAATGATGACAAATTAGGGCCCTTTAATAATGACAGATTAGGGCCCTTTAATGATGACAGATTAGGGCCCTTTAATGATGACGGATTAGGGCCCTTTAATGATGACAGATTAGGGCCCTTTCAAGATGACAGATTAAGGCCCTTTCAAGATGACAGATTAGGGCCCTTTAATGATGACAGATTAGGGCCGTTTAATAATGACAGATTAGGGCCCTTTAATGATGACAGATTAGGGCCGTTTAATAATGACAGATTAGGGCCCTTTAATGATGACAAATTAGGGCCCTTTAATAATGACAGATTAGGGCCCTTTAATGATGACAGATTAGGGCCCTTTAATGATGACGGATTAGGGCCCTTTAATGATGACAGATTAGGGCCCTTTAATGATGACGGATTAGGGCCCTTTAATTATGACAGATTAGGGCCGTTTAATAATGACAGATTAGGGCCCTTTAATTATGACAGATTAGGGCCCTTTAATAATGACAGATTAGGGCCCTTTAATGATGACAGATTAGGGCCCTTTAATGATGACGGATTAGGGCCCTTTAATGATGACAGATTAGGGCCCTTTAATGATGACAGATTAGGGCCCTTTAATGATGACGGATTAGGGCCCTTTAATGATGACAGATTAGGGCCCTTTAATGATGACGGATTAGGGCCCTTTAATGATGACGGATTAGGGCCCTTTAATGATGACAGATTAGGGCCCTTTAATGATGACAGATTAGGGCCCTTTAATGATGACAGAGAAGGGCCCTTTAATGATGACAATGGTGACAGATTAGGGCCCTTTAATGATGACAGATTAGGGCCCTTTAATGATGACCTACATGTTCTTCTGTCTCTCTTGCAGAAAGTCAGCGATAAAGCCGCTCTGGACAACATCTTCAAGGATCTGGACGCAGATAAAAACGACAGCGTGGACTTTAAAGAGTTCAGTACCTTGGTCGTCTGTCTCACCCAAATGTGCCATGAGTTTTTCACCAAGAAGAAGTGAGAGCCAGGGACCCACAGCGAGGGAGCCAGAGTGAGGGAGCCAGAGCGAGGGAGCCAGAGCGAGGGAGCCAGAGCGAGTGGATGAATAAATAAAAAGGAAAATAAAAGTATGTTAGAACATGTTTCTGTGTCGTGTGCTTCGTCATTTTGATCCAAACTTGATGCACTGAAAAAAACATTTTGATCAGATTTATTGACTAAAAATAACATAAATTATGCCTTTTTTAATGGAATTGTTTTACTTCTGAGCAGTGAGTTTTTAAACTTGTTTTTAAGTATTTTTTCTTACTTCCAGACTTTTCTTGTTTCGATAAAATAAGTTTGTGATGCTAGATCATAGGGGTCAAAGTCAAGGCCCGGGGGCCAGATCCGGCCCGTGAGACCATTCCCAGTGGCCCTTGAGATAATTTTAAATGATTATATTAAACAGCAGCATTAATGGTCATAGGCGACAATGGTATGTTACTAATCCATTACTGAGAAAACAACCATAACATTTAATTCCACAAGAAATGTTTAGCTAACATGTAGAAGTTAGTATTATGTTATGTTTTTTCAGTCTTCAATTACGTTTCTTCTTAAAGATATGATGTAGGATTTCCCAATTTTCTTAGGAAAGAACCGCCCTCTCCACTTTTTGAACAAAACTCTCTGGTCTTATTGGACAGGCACGAGAATGATTGACAGTTGGGAGGACCAATAGTCTTGATGATCCACCCGGAAGTAGAAAATCTTCCTATACTTCAATATTTGGTCCAGTTTTGGTTCAGTCACAAAAACTGAACTAAGTCTAATCATAAAAGAATGTCCAATCCATCTAATGTGAAGTCGTTTATTTCGAAACCTTCATATTCCAAAAACATTGAAACCCACTTTTTCTTTCGACCCCTGACCAGCCCTTTATGTTTTTATTCTACCCTCAACTAAAATAAGTTCGACGCCCCTGTGCTAGATTGATGTGTTATGCTCAAAAATGTTTAAGAAATAAGTAAATAATCCTGGAAATGTATGTTTTGAAACTATCAACTCGTTTGGGGCTAATATTATAGTCTTATTTTAAAAATCTTGTGAAGTCATATGTTCTTCAGTCATAGATCATTTTGATCATTTTAATCAGTATTTTACTTATTTCCATGTTTTTTTGTTTCTTATTTTTGTTAAGGAAGGACCTGTGAAACCTTTACTACACACAGCAAGGGTGAATAAGTCTGTCACTGAAGCTACTCTCCAGAGTGTCCAGCAGGGGGCGTTCTAACTGTTTTCATAGAGCTCCTCGTTCCTACTGTTCTGAAACTTGTGATGCAAAACTGAAATACATTTACAGTTTTGTTTTATATTTATATTATTATTATTTTTTTGGGGAGTTTGTCTTTTCAGCAGCCGTTGAGACCACTTGCTTAGTGATGAAGCAAATAAGGGAAATATATTTTAAACATATTTTTTTTCTTGAATTCAAAGTTTGGTCAGATTATTTTAGACCTAAATTCACTTGAATGTATTTTTGAATAATAATAATAATAATGATAATAATAATACATTTTATTTCTTGAGTGCCTTTCTTCAGGGTTGCCTTAAATACAAGCAAAAAGTACATTTTAAAATACAAAGTTAAAAAACATATATATATATTATGAGTTTATTTGACAGGGAAATTGTGCATTAATAAACATTTCTGTGATCTGCAGTCCCTGGACAGATGAACAGTCTCCCTAAAGATAATAACAGTAAAAGTCATACAATAATAAAACACAGAGTCGGAAGACAAGAAATCACACAATACACGATAAACACACAGTTCACACACGAAAGGCCGAGACTAACGCCCACAATTGTAAAGCGCTTTGACTCTGGTCTGAGAAAGGCGCTATATGAATAAATATTACTTAAACACACAGTTCACATACAAAAGAGGAAGTAATCTTTATTTATATAGCGCCTTTCTCAGACCAGAGTCAAAGCGGTTTACAATTGTGGGCATTAGTCTGTCACTCACACAGAGATGGGGGCGGGGCCAGGAGGCACAGACCTATTGTACATGTTTTTGGTGGTAGGGGAAACCGGAGCACCCGGAGGAAACCTACACAGACACGGGGAGAACATAAAAACTCCACTCAGAAAGGCTCTGGTCCGACCGAGATTCGAACCCAGGACCGTCTTGCTGAGAATCCTCACTGCTCACAGGTGCATTCTCTAAATAATCTCTCTGAACTAAACACCTTATTTCATTTAAATTATCTATTTTGTATCTATATATTTCAATAATATTATCTATGATCTTACATAGACGGGAGGGCAGCAGTGGCTCAGTTGGTAGAGCATTATCATATTCTATTTTATCTTATCTTGTGCCTAAAATGTGCCTTTCCTGGACAGTGTTCCCGTGCATGTGTCACGGGGTGATTACGTAAGCGAAGGTTGGCGTGCCGACAACTCTCAGGCTCGCATTCCAACGCCGAGAGCATATTCTGGAATTTTCTGGAGCGTTGCATCTTTTTGTCGTGTGACGTTGAAGCCGCTAAAAGCACCTGACCTGCAGCTTCCTATCTGAGAGAAGAACACCAGATAACGTCAATCAAATCACAATCATATCAGAAAACAAAAACAGTCACAAGACGCAGCACAAATCATAAAACTGGAGCAAAACTTGTTCCTGAAAAGCAAGTCTGAGTCTGAGGCTGCGGAGCGACGGAGAAATTAAAACGTTTATGATCATGAGGCCTGTTTCATGTGTCCTCGGGGAACAGAGGTGAGGGGGAAAAATGAAGGTTATTTTGGACACTGAATTTTAAAACATTTAATTTGTTTACACTGAATTTTTTTTTTAATCATAGTTTATATAATTCAAAAGCAAAAAAAGTGTTGATAATAAAAACACAAAATAACCAATAACAGCTAAAATAGGAGCAGAAATTAGTCCCCTTCAATCAATTCAGTCTGTAATAACAACAGCGTTAATGGTAATGAATAAGACAATTGTGAGTCATTAAAAAATTGTTTTGAGGTAATTATTATCTTACTTTTCCGACGGTGCGACTGTGGCATAACTTTGTGCTGCAAGATGGAATTGTGATTTTTAATTTTTTTCTCGTTTTTTATACTTGATTGTTGAGTTTTTGCCTTTGGAATTATAGTCAGAATGTCATAATTTAAAAAACATGACAAGGCAACAATTATAATGTAAAGGAAAAGATTACATACAGTGACAATAATAATTAAAAAAGAAAGAAAAACATGATAACATTTATATATAAAAAAAGACAAAATAAATAGTGATTTTTTGATCCTACATCCAGTTTGTCTCCTTCATGACTTGGGGAAAGAGCAGCTCCGCAGTTATGGCTTTAAAATGTGTCTGTGCTGTTTGTGTCTGTATTCACAAGTCAACTGGAGCAGAGTTTGTGCACTTTTGTACCTATTATGTGAACTGATAAGACTAAATACCTTTCTTTCATACATCATCCAAGACTTTTAAGTGTTGTGTTTGCTTAAAGGGCTGTTTCATTGGGAAAAAAAACATCTCAAATCAATCAATCAACTTCACAAAAGGCTTTAGAGTTCATCAAAACGATTCCACACGGCCATAAACCCAGCAGAGACACCCCAAACAATCGTCAACATAAACTCACACACCCATTCACACGACTGGTCAAATAGATGAAAGTATTAAAAATAAGGCTTAGTTTAGGTATTACGAGCTGAGGAAGCGCCATCCGAGGAGCAGTCTGTAACAGGACCAGGGGCAGTCTGTACCAGGAGCAGACCGCAGCCACAGAACTCTACCCGCAGAGAAGAGATAAAGCTGAGCCTTGAGACCTCCACCTCGTCCATGAGTCAGACCCTGAAAGCTGCAGACATTTGTTATCTGTCAAATGCAACGCAATCACATCATAATTACAAACACTTCACTTCATGGGATTGTGATCTGAAAACATATATTTCAAATCCATGTGTTTCATTATGACAAACTCGTCCCAAAATACTATTTAATGGTCTCACGCTTTTGTTCTGTCCTTTCATAGAAGTATACAGTACACATACTTACAGGTACATACAGCACATACCACAGACTGAACATACACAGCCTCATACATACTTACTGGTACATACCACAGACTGAACATACACAGCCTCATACATACTTACTGGTACATACCATGGTACATACACAGCCTCATACATACTTACTGGTACATACCATGGTACATACACAGCCTCATACATACTTACTGGTACATACCATGGTACATACACAGCCTCATACATACTTACTGGTACATACCATGGTACATACACAGCCTCATACATACAGTACTTACTGGTACATACCATGGTACATACACAGCCTCATACATACAGTACTTACTGGTACATACCATGGTACATAATACACAGCCTCATACATACTTACTGGTACATACCATGGTACATAATACACAGCCTCATACATACTTACTGGTACATACCATGGTACATAATACACAGCCTCATACATACTTACTGGTACATACCATGGTACATACACAGCCTCATACATACAGTACTTACTGGTACATACCATGGTACATAATACACAGCCTCATACATACAGTACTTACTGGTACATACCATGGTACATAATACACAGCCTCATACATACTTACTGGTACATACCATGGTACATAATACACAGCCTCATACATACTTACTGGTACATACCATGGTACATAATACACAGCCTCATACATGTGCTGGTCCTGGCAGTGGGACCGCCCCGCAGTCACGTGATCAGCCCGTGTCCCGTGACGCACGGCGGTCTGTGCTCACGGCGGAGACACAGCGACTGTTGTTTTGAATTTACACCGACACCGACCGTCAGGACCGAGGGGGCAGGGCTCGGATAAGATGGCGGATGAAGGCGATGAAACTCGGCCAGCTCTCTCCTGTGCGCCCCGGAACGGCCCGGTTGGTACCGTGGGCACCGTGGTCACCTCTGGTCCGCGGGTGGTGCGCATCGTCAAGTCTGAGTCCGGGTATGGGTTCAATGTGCGCGGACAGGTCAGTGAAGGAGGACAGCTGCGGAGCATTAACGGGGAGCTGTACGCTCCTCTGCAGCATGTTAGCGCCGTGCTCCCGGGAGGAGCCGCGGACCGAGCGGGGATCAGCAAAGGAGACCGCATCCTGGAGGTGTAAGTGCCCCTCTGTTAGCATTAGCATTAGCATTAGCATTAGCTGCTTCTACGCTACACTTGGTGAATAACAAGCATGTCCTGCTGGATGCGGTGTAAACAGCTCCTGGTCCGTGGTGTTTGAAGAACACAGTGTGGTTCTTATTTTAATGTGATTTAAGAGATTATTGATCCTTTAGTCACGGCTACATCAGGCTAATGCTAATCAGGGAAAGGGAAAGCTATCCGTCTTACATAAGTTTGATTACATCCTGTGCATGTTGATGAGCTGTGCTGCTAGCATACAGCTGCTCAGGTAAAGCCCCAGAGCCCTGACTGCGCAGGGACTGACTCAGGGACTGATCTCGGTTCCCTGATCTATGTAGACCGAGGTCGGTGTAGTTTTAGTGCAGTCCGTGGTGCTCGCCCCACGGAGCTGTCATCCTCAGCATCCTTCCATCATGTCCGTGTTTGCGTGATGTTTTCTCATTATTTGCATGAGGTCTAGATGTTCCTCCAGATTGTGTCCTTTTGCTGCAGAACACTGTGCACCTGTGTTTTGTTTTTTGTTCAGTCACCATAAAGAAAGGAGCAGCAAATGCACAAAGTGTACAGATGTGTATTAATATCCCAGGATGGAAGTAGAAGGCAGGTGCAGGGTTCACTCTGAAATAGGACTGTGTCTGCTGCCTCCACGCACGTTTCTGTGATACACACTATTTTGCTTTTTTGCTGTGTTCTGTATAAATGGCTGGATTCACACTGTGCTAAATGTTATATAATGGAGAAGAGAAACTTGGAAGAAGGAACAGTCCTATTGGCACTTGCTGAAGCATCAAAAAGTGTTTCACTCAACCTGCACTTTCAGCTCACTGCTAATCTTGTACTTTAGTCACATGACAGGTTGTAATCATGTGACATTGAAACTAGCTTTGTTGTTTAAAGATTATTCACCATGAGTTTGGGGTTAAACATGTAAAGCGTTTATAAACATAAAGGTAGTTTTAAGGCTGCACAATATGAAATTGCAATATATATATGCAGTGTGGACAAACTACTCAGCCTCAACAGTTTGCTGAAATTTATAAAACAAACTGTCAAATTAACAGTAAAAAAACCTTTCAGAATGTGCAAAAGGCTTGTTTATGTTTATGCAACTCAGTGTATTACGAGACTATAGCAGAAGCATCTATATATATTATTGAGATTTCTCCGTATGATGTTAGAATTGTCTTGTTTGCTTGTGACTTAAGTAATTCTAGTCTTTGTGATTTGCCACTTTCCAAACTGTTATTTTGATTCTTGCGAAACCTAGTACAGTTTAAGAAGAAAATATGTGTATATTCACAATCTCTCAAAGTAGATAAGTCCATGTCATCGCAATATTGAATATAAAATGACAACATGAAAACTGTTGGTGGAATAGCAACTTACCCAACTAACTTTTCATAATGGTTTTCTATGAGATGTAGTTTGATGGTCCATTAAATGCCTCTTTTGCTGACTGCTCTGTTACACATTCCTGAGAGACAGTCACTGGTTTGTGTCTGTGGTTGTCACTTAACAATAACCGAGGGCAAGGTCTTGTTCACTCATGAGAATCAACCACTTATAAATGAACACGGAGACTCGGGTGGTCCCCTAACTCTCTAACAACAAGCTGGACGACATGTGTTTTTGAACTACAGACCCGAGGAGAAGTTGTTGTTTTGACCCGTGTTGGCTTTTCGTCACTGGGAAAACAGGAACATATAAAAAAATAAAAAGGATCTAAACAGACATAAGTCTTCTCAAACTGGTTTCATTAAACTGGCCAGTAGGGGGCGACTGAGCAGAGGTGGGACCACTCAGTTTTGCTCCTATTAAAAACCATGTAATGTCTGTTTTGGAGTCAAAGGCTCTCCTCCTGTGCGGTGTACGGTTGTAACAGTCTTAATCAGGGACACGCAATTCTAAAGGAGTACTAACAAATATTTCTCGAGTCTTGATTTTGGGCATCCCGGCAGACTGCACCGCCAGGATACGTCACGTCCTGTCCTACGTTAGTTATTCGCGCCACTGCCCTGACGTCATATGAAACCCAAGAATAGGAGGATTTTCCCAAGTTTTAGGAAAGAACCTCCCACTCCACTTTTTGAGCAAAACTCTTGATGATCCACTCGAATATAGAAAATCCTCCTCTATACCTTTAAGTCACAGCATTTTGTACCCAGGACCCCGGGGAATCACATGATAATGGACTACAGCTTATCATCCATGTGGTGTTTCCAAACATATATCGGACAACTTCATAAAGGAAAGAGCAGAACATGCAAAAAGCGCAAACTTTGATGGTAGAACCTTAATGTTGTTACACGGCTTGTCATTATGCAAATTATTGTCCTGCATGTGACTTGATTTTAACCTTTTGTAGAAGGAAGTAACACACACCCAAAAACTCTAACTGAGATGCAGGAAAATATAATCAAAGCTTCAAAGAAAGCTAGTTGTAGATGCCCATTATTACTATTAATTATTATTATTATTATTGTCAGCCACAGTTCCTCAGTCAGGTATTGTTTCTTTATAACCTTAGTCTGACCCACAAACCAACAACCAGCTATAAAAGTTTGGTTTCATTTTTGTCTAAATTGCTGCTATGTTTTGTCGGTCTGCTCACACGGAACAGCAAAAAGACTAGCTCCTCAGGTGGGTTAAATGGCGGTTTGTTTACACATACCAGCCCGTGTCTCTGTCTGTAAAGAAGAGAAGGAACACACTTTCTAGGGGCCTTCCACTGTAATGAGACTATACGCTTTGTAAATGGACTTTCAAATGTGTATATTTGTGATTACAGACTAAAACGGCGTAAAGGTGGGGGTAATGAGTGACTCCTGACTAGCATACAGAGGGTCCAGTTTAACACAGTTGTCCGTGTATGAACCACTTCTTGAAAACCTCTAAACGTGATTGTCCAGGAGTAAGAGCGTGGCGTGTGCGGTCCCTTTTCCCGCCGCTGTTTCTCACTGAAGATTAGCAGAGACACCTGATGCTCCGCCATCTGGCCTCAGCGCGTGGAGACGGGGCTTCAAAGACCGGGGCACATTAAAAGGCGGCCGTGGACTAAGCTCCTTTTATTCAATCTATAAACAAAGGCTGAACAAGGACAAACGGACTGCGCTCTGAGGAGTCGCCTGTTTGCGTCGAATCACTTCCTTTGCTTTTAAGTTTGGCTGGATTTTATGTTTTTATAGTTCATTAAAACATTTGGGCTGCTCGAGTCTCTGGGTGCAGTGTAGAAAGTTATGAAAACTGTCTGGAAGATCTAAGGTTAAAGATCAAGATTAAAAACAAGATTAATTGTATCTCCTTTGGTTGACTGATTTTATTTCTTGATTTTTTTCAAACTGTTGCCAAAATTATTGCTATTAAGCCACTATAGATGAAAACACAGGTAAAGTAAGTATTTATTTATAAAGCGCCTTTCACAGACCATAAAGCCCTTTTTGATGGCATTTGTCTCTCACTCCACACAGAGATGGGAGCGGGGCCAGTACAGGAGGCACATGTCAGACCTATTGTGCATGTTTTCAGTGGTAGGGGAAACCGGAGCACCTGGAAGAAACCAATGCAGACACAGGGAGAACATGCAAACTCCACGCAGAAAGGCCCTGTTCCGATCGGGATTCTAACCCAGGACCTTCTTGCTAACCACTCAGCCTTTGGGAATGATCTAAATTAGTTCATCTCCTCAGCCTCTCACTGCTACATGATTGGATTTCAGTAATGGCAGAATGTTTCAGAAACATAGATTTTCATTCGAGATGAAAGATTTCACCTTGCCAGAAAGCTGAATTCTCGCGGTATTTGTGAGTTCACAAACACTCGAGAATACATCTTGTCCCGCTCCCGCCGACCCTTTTTCGAGTAGAACATCTAGGTGTTCAAGCCAATCACGCGCCAGTCTGGGGGTTTAGGGCGGGATATCCGGGTTTGACGAAAGCAAGAAGTGCCGGGCCGAAGCAAAACAAACATGGCTACGCAGGAGGACGGACGCGTAGCTGAGGCTATCAAGTCAGTTTTAGCAGAATCTCCAATTTCTTTTTTGAAAGATGAACAGCGAGAGGCGCTTTGTGCATTTCTGGACGGCAAAGATGTTACCGGGATTGGTTTAAGTCAAACCTTGGTAGGCGGGCACACAGCGTCACTTCGCCCAATCAGCTTGAAGTATTCTGCTGCTTATCCCTCCTTTCCCCGAAAGGATTCTCCTGCAGAAGTCCCAGATTGATATCGTGGAGAACGCATTAGAGTTCTACACAATCATCAATCTGGCTCTTGCCAGGTTAGGAAAGATTAGCACAAGAAATTAGTCCCAAAATGAATGCTTGGGTCAGGAACTGGTACTGTCTGCAAGTATCGGCTCCTAAGTTGGAATAACATCAACCAAGACGTTTTAGAACAATTATAAAGAATCGAACATTGTCTTGATATCATTAGTTATAAACACTATATCATATTTATATTATTATGGCACATCTCTCCCTTCCCACTCATCTGATCACATCCTTGTATTTGAACAAGTCTTTCCAGCCTTTAAAGGAATAGTTCACCGTTTGTACATACTGACATATGTTCTTACCTTACCTTAGACTAGTTAATACATACCTGTCTGGTCTTAGTCCGTGCGCTCTGTCATGCAAACGGAGCAAAAACTGGAGCACAACCGCAGCCTCCTCTGTATATTTTGTAGCACCAAAAGGTAGCTCCCGCTAGAAGCTACCGAACTCTTCCAAGTGTTCCCTATTAAATGTATATAGTTACGTGACGTGTTACACTGCAAAGTATAGTAACACAGAAATGTAACAGTCGATTTTCTCAGCGGATAAACGGGTACTATATTGTGAGGCGTAAATCTGAGGTGGTACGTCCGCGCACTAATCCGGAGACTTCTCTTGTCGTCAATAGAGGCGTAGTAGCAGCGAGAGAGAAGTCTCTGAGTTAGTGCGCGGACGTAGCGCTCCTAACTCTCCGCGCACTAACTTCTCTCCGGAACTTCTCTCCTGCTACTATTAAGTCACGCTGCTTCTATTGACGGAAGTGAGCGAGAGAGAAGTCTCCGGAGAGAAGTTAGTGCGCGGACGTAGCGCACCTCAGATTACTACGCCTCACAATATAGTACCCGTTTTATCCGCTGAGAAAATTGACTGTTACATTTCTGTGTTACTATACTTTGCAGTGTAACACGTCACGTAACTATATACATTTAATAGGGAACACTTGGAAGAGTTTGGTAGCTTCTAGCGGGAGCTACCTTTTGGTGCTACACAGTATACAGAGGAGGCTGCGGTTGTGCTCCCGTTTTTGCTCCGTTTGCATGACAGAGCGCACGGACTAAGACCAGACAGGTACGTATTAACTAGTCTAAGGTAAGGTAAGAACATATGTCAGTATGTACAAACGGTGAACTATTCCTTTAATGTGTGTTACGGTTGTGTTTTCATTGAGAGGTTAAACATGACGATCTGCCGCTGATTACTTTCCCATTTCTCATCACTCCCAGTCTCTGCTTTGCCTCTTTTCATAGACGCTCTTAAATTATGCAAAACTTATTGACCTCACAAGTCAGTACCATCTTGGGCATAATGTTCATCCTATATATAGAAAGCCGATGCACAAAGCAAGTGTAAAGTCCAGTTCATGTCGTTAAAGCCTGGTTCACACGGCAGGATAATTAGGCCGATTAAAGACCCGATTTATCCCTAACCACAATCTTAAGAACGCTCAGATTGTCGTAAATAAAATCTGATAGATTTTCCATGTGTGGTGTGTTAAGACTGCGTCACTCAGAAGGACTTCAGGACTGCTCCGATTTCAGAGATATCCAACATGTTGGATTGTTTTGGCCCGATTTCTCTTCGTGTGTGGTGTCGGGGGCAGACGAATGCGTTGCCAGGTGACTGCGGCGTGTAGTCAATCAGAAGACCAGGTGACGAGGCGGCGAGGATACACCAGAAAAAAACAAAAAAACAGTCGATGGCATAAATATATATATATAATTAGTCCGAGCTCGCGTTGTCTCCATTTCTTTGATCATCGCCTTTTCCTTTGAAAGCACTTTTTCTCTTTTAAAAACAAACTACAAACGATCGCAGCTGTCTCCTCTTCGTCCTCCATGATTGTTTTCTCTGAAGTCTCGCTTGATCTCGAGAGATTTTGTGAGATTTCTATCTGACCTGGGAATTCTCAGGGGTGAAATCGGTTCATGTGTGATGTGTGTGGTTTGCGTGATCTTGCCGTGTGGCTGCGCACCACACACTGTACGACCAAAGTGGTTAGACCCTTGATTTGTTATCTCCGTGTGTGGGGTCTCTCAGGTTAGGAACACCGGCCAACAATTTTAAAATCGTCACGTTTGGAGCAGGCTTTAGTTTGATGCCATTTTGTCTATCTTTTAAGTCTTCAGTAATTAATATATAAAACCTTATTCTTTACTTTAAATGTCTCAAAGCTGTCTGACTGTTGTTGCAAACTGATCTTGTATTCTTCATTCATTTGTGGTTGTCCTAATCTTTCATTTCCTCTGGTCCGCAGGAACAGTGTGAGTGTGGAAGGGGCCACACATAAGCAGGTGGTGGACCTGATCCGGGCGGGGGAGAAGGAGCTGGTTCTGGTGGTGCTGTCCGTCCCACCGCAGGAGGCCGAGGGGCTGGAGGGGGGAGAGGAAATCCAGCCAAACTACGACTACAGCGACAAGCAGGCGGTGCCCATCTCCATCCCCACCTACAAACACGCGGAGCAGCACGCCGAGCGCTTCGTGGTGAGTGGACGCGTCACGATACTGAAATGATAAACTCAATCCCAATACTAAGAACAAAGTTGGTGTTTTTGGTACAATGAACTGCAATTTTTTCAACATAACAGCGTAGCCTGGTCTTAAACTCCGGTCAATCATTAATCCTACATGTTATTAATATGGTACTGTAGAGGATGTATGTAGTTTCAACAATTTAATATGTTTGGTTTTAAATGTTCTGATTTTTTATGAATTAGCTTTTTGACAAAAAGGGCGTGTAATATTTTGATTCCATTATAATTTTTCCACTCAGTTGTTTGTTTGAGTAATTTATGCACGATTGAATAATGTTTATTTTAGAAAAGGCAAAACATCTGATTCAAGGAATGACACAAATGGCACAAAATTGTTTCAGATGACGCACAACGGAGGCAGAAAATAATATTCATAATTGTTTGAGATATTTGATCTGATAAAGCACAGCCTCCTCAGTGTAATTTCCTGTCCTGGTCTGGTTTGGAGTCTAGTCTGGAGTCTAGTCTGGAGTCTAGTCTGGAGTCTAGTCTGGAGTCTAGTCTGGAGTCGAGTCTGGAGTCGAGTCTGGAGTCGAGTCTGGAGTCGAGTCTGGAGTCGAGTCTGGAGTCGAGTCTGGAGTCGAGTCTGGAGTCGAGTCTGGAGTCGAGTCTGGAGTCGAGTCTGGAGTCGAGTCTGGAGTCGAGTCTGGAGTCGAGTCTGGAGTCGAGTCTGGATTTTAAAAGTCTGTCTTGTCTGCAGGTGTACAACGTCTACATGTCGGGCCGCCAGCTCTGCTCCAAACGCTACAGAGAGTTCGCCATCCTCAATCAGAACCTCAAGAGGGAATTCTCCAACTTCAACTTCCCCAAACTCCCGGGAAAATGGCCGTTCTCTTTGTCGGAGCAGCAGCTGGACGCACGGCGCCGAGGCCTGGAGGAGTACCTGGAGAGAGGTGAGGGCTGGGACTGGATTATTCGGATGACTGTGTTATTATTGTAATCAGCGACCTACTGAAGTCCGCCTTCGGTTTGTTCGCTAGATACCCCACTGTAGGCCCGAGTCTCAGATAGATACTGATACCCCACTGTAGGCCCGAGTCTCCGATAGATACTGATACCCCACTGTAGGCCAGAGTCTCCGATAGATACTGATACCCCACTGTAGGCCCGAGTCTCCGATAGATACTGATACCCCACTGTAGGCCTGAGTCTCCGATAGATACTGATACCCCACTGTAGGCCTGAGTCTCTGATAGATACTGATACCACACTGTAGGCCTGAGTCTCTGATAGATACTGATACCACACTGTAGGCCTGAGTCTCAGATAGATACTGATACCCCACTGTGGGCCTGAGTCTCAGATAGATACTGATACCCCACTGTGGGCCTGAGTCTCAGATAGATACTGATACCCCACTGTAGGCCTGAGTCTCAGATAGATACTGTTATCTGAAGGAGAACTTATACTTATACTCATGAATAGGGCTGCACGATATTGGAAATTACAGCAATATTCGATGAGTGTTTAGTGTTTTAAAATTATTGCGATATTTTGGTCTTTCACCTAAAATGTTATCTGCACTGAAACGCAAGAGACAAATAACAAAAAATAAGCACAACATTAATGACATTCAAATCCATATATTTATTTACTTTTTGTTTGTTGTTCTCGTTGAATGTGGATGTGTCTGTTTTGTTGTCTTTCATAATGGAAAAAAACATCTTTTGGATATGGATATCACACGTACGAATATCCCGATTACAATATTTTTGTGATGTATCGTGCAGCCCCTATTCATGAATATATTTTGAGTAAAAGTCGGTGGGAGGTGAGGGCGCTGAACCTGCTGCTGCGAGTTGGAAACAAATGTGACTGTACCTGGTAGTGTATATAATAATAATAATAATAATATCAGTCCGTCTTCCTGTGGACCCACCACCTGCCGGCACGCTCTGATATAAAGTATCTATCTGACTGCGACCCCCCACGACCCAGAAACAGACTAATAAAGGGGTAAGAAATGTATGAATAAATGAATGAATTATAATAGTAATAGTAATAATACATTAATAAAAATAGTAATAATAATAGGCCGCTAAAGCAAAAGTGTATGTATGTGTGTGGATGGGTGAGAGTTCATAAATCGCTCTTTTTCAAGTTTCTGTAAATCTATGTATTTGTCAAACAACTGAATTTCACAGCTTCAATGGTTTCCTGTACTTTTAAAATGTTGTATGTACTTGTCTTGTGCACACTGGGGACTTTTGCAGATGTATTCCAATGTGGTTTTACTGCAAACGGCAAATAAAACGAGTCAATCTCAATTCTGTTTGAACCTGAAATGAAAATATCAGAATCGAACCTGGTGCCACAGCTTCCAACTTCATATAAAAAAGAAAGGACTTTACTTTCTGTGGTCAAATTCATTTTCTTTGCACTTTTACCGTGTTTGTGGGATCGAAAAAAGTAGTTGCGACTTCATGAAATGACTTTGATATTCTTTAGTCCAAATATTCTCAAAAGTGCAGCTGTTCTGGAACTGACCCTTTTGGCTGCACATACTTCACTGATGCAGAACAATTTTGATTCTTTTCTTTGTAGCAAAACATCTGTTGGAAAATAAAGATCAAATGTTTCAAAATGTATTAATTAGTGCTGTCCAAAATATCGCGTTATTAACGCGTTAACGCAAATCAATATTAATGGCGTCATTTTTTTTATCGCGCGATAATTTTTTTTTTTTTTTTTTTTACTTTTTATTGCAGACAAACACATATACAGAAAGAAAAATAGAAACAAAGAAAAGGACTAGTTCAGATACATTGTAGACAGAGATTACAAACAATATGTAGTTGGAGATACAGGGGGCCAAAGAAGAAACCCAGAAGGGCACATAGAAGTGCTGTGCGTGAACGAGTTCAAAAGAACGCGTTCATTGAACACGCTCATTTTTTCGTGAACATTGAACTGAACGCAACACATTTTAAAAAAAAGAACTTGAACGTGAATTAGTTCATTTTATGTGTCATGAACGGCAGACATCACTATGAACGTTGGAATCGGTTTTCTCTTTTAAAACGCAACGAGAGAAAGTTCCTCCCTCCTGTATTCTCGCACTTTTTCCGCCGAAATCTAAAAATTCCCACGGTTTCCACCGTCTGTGAACGCACCCCGACTCTGCGGTGCGGCGCTGTGAGCTGGTGCTTTTCATATGTGCACGAGTCGTGATGAAAACACAGGGTGAGTTAGCGACAAAGTTTACACCGTTTACATTTGACATAAAGTATAGACACACGCACTGCAGCGCATTACTGTCTGTAGTTTATGAGCAGAAATGGAGCAACTCCGTTTTGCTCCCATTGAAAACCATGTAAATCTTGTCTGTTTTGTAGTCAAAAGGCTCTCCTCCTGTAGGTGTACAGGAGATATATACACACATTATATATATATATATATATATATATAGCTCGTAGTGTGAAAAAAATATGTATTTATCTCACGAAAAAAGTAAAATGAACTGAACTTTGAACTAGTTCAGAATTAAAAATGTGAACTTTGAATGTGTTCAGTTCATACATGCTCAAAGTGAACAGAACTTGAACTAGTTCAGAAAAGCTGTGAACTGGCACAACACTGCATAGGAGGGGGGGGGGGGGGGAGACATGAAGTGGGAGAGGGGGGGGGGGGGGGGGGTTAATATAAAAGGCAATACAAGCAAACAGTATACAGTCATAGATATACCGAAAGTAAACAGAGAAACAGCATAGAGTATTTACATGAACAAATTTACAAAATATTTACAGATTGTTTATCATCATCATAATGACACCATGATGTTTCTATACAGTCTATGGTCTATACCCACACATACACACACACACCCACACACACACACACACCCACACAAATGTGTGACTAATTTGCGATTAATCGCGAGTTAACTATGAAATTCATGCGATTAATCGCGATTAAATATTTTAATCGTTGGACAGCACTAGTATTAATAGATAAAAGCTGCTTGACCAGTTTTCCAAAAAAACTTAAAATGTTTTCAAACATGAGATCCGGCCTAGACTCCCCTCCACACCCGGCCCCCCACCCTGCCCCCCACCCCACCCTGCTTCAGTCCTGTACCTGTCCTCGTTCTACAGTCTGAGTCGGCGATCTACAGCCTCAGTCTGTCTGTTGGACTGTGTAGCCTAGTGTATAGTCGCGCGAAGCTTACGGTGGTGACGTACGACCAACGCAAGGATCACCACAAGACCCTTGCGTGGCCACCCCTGCTCCCTCGAAAATGTACAGTATGCCGGCGCCGCAGAGAGCTCCACTGTGATTGGTCCGTGTGTGTTTTGGATGGAAGCATAGAGCAGCTGCAGGAACATGGACGAAGCACTTCGCTCATGGCTCAGAACCTGATATACGCGGAGACTGTGGACTAGACTCCTGTGGCATAACATAACATATATATAACTTATAAACTGTGCTGTCGTTTCTTTTTCACTGTTCCTGTCTTTGTTTGAAATGTAGCTGTGTCTGTTCCATTCCTCCTGCACTTATAAATCGTTCATGTTTGTCTCAGATATTTTCCATTTTGGTTTCTCAGGCAACTCCTGTGAGATCGCCATCATGTGGTTGGGTGTGGGATTACAACATTCTCTTCAAAACTACGCAGGGGGAACGCGCAAGTGCTCGAGCCACTGTAGCTGCGTAGGTCCAACGTAACCGCAACCGTAACCGCAGCGCCGCGCAACTATACACAGGCCTTTAGAGTCTAAGAAGGACTGTGGTGAAGATCCAGGACACTTTAACATTCTACATTCATGGACATTGGTCTTTCCCTATGGACCAGTACATGTGTGTTCTTTAAGGGCTCGACACACGGGAGGCGACATCGCATCGCCTCCATTCATTTTCAATGGGACGTGCGCGACATAGCGTCAATCGCTAGCGAGCCTCCTGCTCAGCGACGGGCGAAAAACGTGCGTGTGAAATCCTCCCGCTCGTGCATGTATCGTGCACGCGCAGGTCAGCGACGCGATCCCAGAAAGTTGAAATCGGCTCAACTTTTCGACGCTGTCGTCAAGCCGCATCGCGCCCCGTCTGTCATGTTATCTGAGCGACAGCGTTGAGTTTCGCTGATCGCTCTCATTTGTCGCCTCCCGTGTGTCGAGCCCTTTATCCTGTGTGTTTTAACTGTTTGATTCTCTGATCTGTTTTGGAGTCCTCTGAGATGATACGGTCTATACAAGAATACATTGAATTGAAGAGAACTTTTGGAGAACTATAGAAACGGATAATTGTACATTAATTAATTATACATTTGTTTCTACAACACGCTACGACACAATTCTGCTCCGTCTTTGTTGTCTCAAGCTGTGGTTTCTATGGGGAACTGAATGTGGTCATTATTTGGCCTTTACTCTAACGTGTTTTGTTCTGACCTTCTGTGTCCAGTGTGTTCGGTGCGAGTGATCGGAGAGAGCGACATCATGCAGGAGTTCCTGTCTGAATCCGACGAGGTAATGTTAACTTCAGTGGATTTTTCTTGCTTGATCCTTTGTTAAATAACCTTTTAGTTTTTAACAATTTTAAAAAGGAAACGTTGGCTTCTGAGGGCTCATCTTGTGTTTTTAGTCAATTTGATTTTGTCTTCATTATCCGTCTGGTGTAGAGCCAACTAAACGAACAGAAATCTTGGATGCAGTCTCGGTTTTGTGTTTTATAAATGCGCCGCAGTTATGTCCAGCACAATTATCTGGAGGTGAAGAATTTTAGTGAATAATGCTGGAATAATATATGGCTCATTTGGTCATTCTAAATATCTGTTTTTTACTACTTTAAAGGGACAGTATGTAGTATTTTAATTTTAAATAACTTTTATATGTGTCCCTGGATAACATGTATAAAGCCTTTTTTTCCGAGCAAAAGTTTAAAGTCAATGAGTCAATAATGTATTTTTGTATTGCACACTTTGTGTACAAGGAAGTTCAAAGATCAAGATGCAAATACAAAAAAGAAGTAAATTAAATATACAACCATTTCATTTGCACAAAAGTAAAGGGTTTAAATCTCATTCCAATGTGGGTTAAAAAGGGAGATAATAGCAATAAATAGAAAAAAATAGAATGAGTTGTATGTGCCGCTAAAAAGATATGTTTTCTGCCTAGTTTTGAACGTGGTCAGGGTAGAGATGCCTGTCTCACACCCTCAGGAAGACTGTTCCATATCTGAGCTGCATAGATCTGAAACGCTGTCTCCATGTTTCATCCTGGAGTCACGTGGAGTCCTTCTTAATCAAAACAATGGACATGAGATTATCCAATCAGAGAGCAGTTGGGGTGCCTTTTTTTAAATAAAACACTCATGTTTAAATGGAAGAAAAATGAAAAATAAGTAGCCAAGCGTAATACAGAGTTTATACTGGTTCTATCTTGACTCCAGTAGGTGGTTTGCATCTGTAATCAGCGCTTCGGAGCTACACAGGCAGGAAGATTCTGGTAACAACACTGCAAAAAGTGGCTTCAAAAACAGAGAAAAAATGGAAATGTACCAGTTTCAAGCAAAATTATCTGACAGTGCATCAGGATTGATTCATCTGTTAAGATTTCTTGAAATAGGAAGAAAATATCAACAATAACAAGTAATATTATCTTCAAGTATCTTCAGCTGCATGAGTTAAAAAGTCAAAATAACGGTGTGATTAGATAAATACTCTGAAATCAAGTGACCTGCACTGGTCTGGTCACTTTTTGCAATGAAAAGTTAGATTGTTTCTTTAAATTCACCAATGTCCTTTTTGTTTGGGCATATTTGTAAATGTTTTCTGCCTGGCGCCGTCGCAGGAGCTCTGGTGTGTTCTCTCTGGTGCACACTGGGAAAGTCTTGCACAGTTTTTACAATGTGGTTTTACTGCAAGGAGCAAAAATAAAATCTTGAATGTTGAATCTTGAACTTAATCTTTCAATGTTTTCAATAATCTCTCATTTCTGCAGAATTACAACGGCGTGACGGACGTGGAGCTGCGGATAGCGCTTCCAGACAAGACGACTATCTCTGTGCGAGTCCGAAAGAACAGCACCACGGACCAGGTCTACCAGGTGATCTCACATGATACTCCACAAGCTTCTTCTTCACTGTTGAACCCTGTTTGTTATGAACCAACTCTTTGTTTTGTGCGTCCTGTAGGCGTTAGTGTTGAAGGTCGGCATGGACAGTATTATGGCGAGCTACTTTGCCCTGTTTGAAGTCATTAACCACACGTTTGGTAAGAATGGGTTTGGGATGTTTTAGTTTCTGTGTCTCGAGGGCGGTGACTCCTACTACTGTCTGGTTACGTTTAGTGAGATACTTCCTGTTTGTGTAATTGGCCTTCAGGTCACCTAATCACCTACGCTAGGTGATTAGATAATAAAATGGCTGCTGGATTTTGTCTGGTGAAACAAAATCAGTGATGGATTATGTCATTTGAAATTTAAGAAGTGCCATGTTTTACTTCAGGGATGTCAAAGTCAAATCAGCAACTGAAAAACACAAATTTGCTACGAGCCGTGGGCCGGACTGGTTCAATGCTTATTAAAACATATAAAGATAATTGAATATAACCTACTAAACCATGACCTAACACCGTGGACCATATTTTATTTAACATTTAAATGAATTATTTTTTATTTTTGTATATTCTTCAACAGACCCAGAGACAAACACACATGGACATTAAATAAATAATCCAATATTTTCTTATGGCTCTGTGCGACCGGTTCCAACACTAATCAAGTGACATCTGGGGGCCCAAGATAAATCATTCGTGGGCCGGATCTGGCTCCCGGGCCTTGACTTTGACTCCCATGTCTTGGACGATCACCTTTGGAAAATATGTGTTTCTGATCCCTGTGAAACTGAGAACTCGGTTGTGGCTTTTGTTGCAGTTCGTAAATTGGCCCCTAACGAGTTCCCGCACAAGCTGTATGTGCAGAACTACACGTCGGCCGTCCCCGGGACCTGCCTCTCGCTGCGGAAATGGTTGTTTAGTTTCCAGGAGGAGGAGCTGCTGCGGGACAACCCTCTGGCTCTGCACTACTGCTTCCACCAGGTAACGATGGCTCGGCCTGTGGGGACCCAGACTTTAACAAACACCTCGTCTCCTGCTGCGCTCTAACCCTGCTCTCCATGTGTGCCACAAATCTCTGCAGTACTTCAGTATTTTGCTTTTGAACACGGGAAGAGTGCCTCAGTCTGGTTTGGGACTAGCTAAATGATATAGCAGTGCTGTGACTCAAAGCACGGAGAAATTAGTGTATTTTTGCTACATTTTAAAGACCAGATCTAGAAAAGTGGGGGACTGAGAACTGTGTATAAACAGGAGCTTACATTATATTCATTCATACGTGTTTGTAAAGGCCGTTTGTGGCGTTCTAATAGAAAGTCTGCTGTTACAGGCAGAATACAAAGCCATATACATGCATTCATAGATGGACTACAACCATGTTTTTCTTCTTTTTGCGCTTTTTTTTCCTAATCGTTTTCGCCGTCACATCACAGCTTGAAATAAGTCATTTTTTGAATATATATTTAATTATCTCCTCCCAAGAGTGATTTGAGTGTGAGAAAAGTCCATTTTGGTGGTAATTTCCATGTTTTGTTTTTATTTTTTTTGTTAGGGAAATGAATCTGCGCCACTAGGCAGAAGTCTGCTCTACGAGTGCTTTGCGACTTCATTCTGTGCAGTTTTGTATTTCTTGGATCGCAGTAGCTCTACTTTTGCCAAGACTTTTCGACACAGCCAAACAGAGCATTGGTTAATAGTATTTTATATCCTCATTTCGCAACCTGTCTGAGTGTTATTATTTCAGCACAGTTTACATGACCAGCTTTAGGACCGCTGCGGCCACTTTTCAAATCTACTTTTACTATTCCATTTAAAACAAACTCCAGCTTCAGACAGCCACAGTATTTCATTATTGTTTACATAACGGCCTGCCATGTTTAAACTACTATTGCACAAATGTTTGGGCTCTAAAACACACCCAGGCTAAACCCACATGTTTTTGATTTGAATTCTTTAGCAGCGTTTGCCTGAAGCGACAGTCTGAGCTACTGTCTCCTGAAGCATTCGAGGCATTTGAACTTCCATTGTCCTTTATTTAATCAGCAGCACACCACATGTCACTGCGGTTATGCTCCCGACGGAACAGGACTTTCACAAAACACTTAAATGTCTCCGTTGTTGATTCTGCTGCAAAACTAGAGTCTGTCTGTGGCTCATCTGTGTTTGTCAGATTGACTTTCCGGAAACAGCTTTGTGATTTGTTTTGAAAGAATGTATTTCATGCTATATATTTACAGTATTCTTGGGTTTCATATGACGTCGGGGCAGTGGCTCGAATAATAAACGTAGGACAGGACGTGACGTATAATGGCGGTGCAGTCTGCCGGGTTTATTCACAGAGATATAGTAGAAGATGAAGCGGTGTATACACAGAGATATAGTAGAAGAAGAAGCGGTTTATACACAGAGATATAGTAGAAGAAGAAGCGCTGTCAAAATGCCATCTTTGTGTGCGGTGTACGCTTGTAGCATCCGCACAAATAGAGAGAAAGACCAGAGTTTGTTCATGTTCCAACTGTGGTCTCATATAAAGGAGGACACTCTGAAAGAATCACTGGAATGAGGCGGGCGAGGTGGATCAAGGCTTTCCCAGAGAAGCGCCCCCTGCAGGCCGCCCCAATGAAATGCAGCAATTTATTCTGTTTTTCTTTTCCAAAATTGCCCGAAATCATGACTCTTTTGAGAAATATTTGTTTGTGCTCCCTTAGAATTGAGTGTCCCATCTCTGCTCATGCGCCCCCTACTGGCCAGTTTAAGGAAACCCAAGAAAATAGATGGATATAGATCGATCTAGGAGATATATTGATATATTAAAGAATTTACAGCTACCTAAGAAACATAGCAGCTACTGATATTGTATATTTTGTGTGCTCCCTGTGTCTCTCATACTGTCCTGTACGCGTGTTGCAACATTGAAATTTACGCGCTTAACAGCCAGTGCACTATTGTATATTTACATAAACCAGATTTTTTTACCCCAATGTTTTTGCGTTTATCATTTCAGTTAGCAAACACACACACACCCCTGGATATCTCAATAATAAAAAAACAACTGTCCTGTACTAGTGTCATGGACATGTTTGGCCTAAACTGTTCTTATCAGTCAAGTACCTCCCTCACTTGTATTCTTTTAGTAATCTACCCCCAGCACAACAAACGTAAATGAAATCCAAGATCTGATGTGAAACTTATCTGGTGGTGAAGTGGGACTGCTATCCTGTAATTGTGTGGCTTTCATAAGAATAATAATTGCTTGCATTTAATAGCACAGACTTGCCTTAAAATAAACTTTCCTCGGGGACATTCCAGAAAAAGGCATAACTTCTCGATGGAGACGAGGAAATGACAGACCTGCCCCAAAATAGCAGCATCCAGCATTAAAGCCAGTTGTTTTTGCAGGTTTTTTCAAGCAAATAACTCCTGAACCCAGACTGATAATGTGAATTTCCCTCATTATAACCCATACTCTGCATTTGTTTTTTTCTGTGGCGCTGATAGACGGTGTTTTGCTCTCTTCCTGTGTGCGTCTGCAGGCACTGGACGATGTGAAGAAGGGATTCATAAAAACAGAGGACAAATCCTACCAGCTGCAGAAACTGGCAGAGCAGCACAAGATGGCCACGGTCAGTCCCACAAGCTCCTCTTTGTCCGGGCCGCGAGCGTGGTTCTGAATATGTTTTATGCCCGCTAAGCCGAGCCATCTCCCAAAATCTACAGGAGAGTCGGGCTCTGATAATACAGCCTTTGTTTGGGAAGTGGGAAACACTCCTGGGAATCAGTAGGAGGTGATAAAAGAGCAAGTTATTTAGAGTAATCATAGTTTTTATTGCTTTGAAAACACTACTTAGGAATGACTACACCGGTTCACCCCGCCCTAATTGAGTGGAAGAATTGTGTCTATAAATGCTTATCTCTGCAGTTAAGTAGTAGCTGCAGACTTTGCATATTTAAAACTACAAATTATACTTCAAACCGGACGTTTTTGTGCCTTTAGGCAGGTTACTCTTAAGACTTGGACTCCCTGTTTGTGGCATTGTTCCAGAAGACAGTCAAAAATCACCAACAAACAGGGCAGGACACGTAGCATTGTAGCATTATATAGTATTACAGTGATGCAGATATGTATGTACTAATATATGTACTCAAAGAACATTGGAAACTGACTCAGAGGGCCCTTATGTAAGAAGCACAATTGCTTGTCTAAAAAAAGTTATTACAATTCCAATTTTGTTGCCAGAATCTTCCTGCCTGTGACACATTTAGCTCTGCTTACAGACTGCTTACTGATGCAAACCACCTGCTGGGGCTTAGCTAGAAACTGTACAAATTCAGAATAAGAATCAGAATCAATTTATTGCCATTTGCACACAAAAACTACATAGGAATACAAACAGGAAATAGTCTAAATAGTGTATTACTTATGACTTATTTTTGGCAGAAAACTGGAAACCCAACTCTAGTTCCTCTAGGACCTATGGAACCCTAGGACCTCTCTAACTCTAGGACCTCTCAAACTCTAGGACCTATGGAACTCTAGGACCTCTCAAACTCTAGGATCTATGGAACTCTAGGATCTATGGAACTCTAGGATCTATGGAACTCTAGGATCTATGGAACTCTAGGACCTCTCTAACTCTAGGAACTCTAGGACCTCTCTAACTCTAGGATCTATGGACCTCTAGGACCTCTCTAACTCTAGGACCTCTCTAACTCTAGGACCTCTCAAACTCTAGGACCTCTCAAACTCTAGGACCTCTCAAACTCTAGGACCTCTCGAACTCTAGGATCTATGGAACTCTAGGATCTATGGAACTCTAGGACCTCTCTAATTCTAGGACCTCTCCAACTCTAGGACCTCTCTAACTCTAGGACCTCTCCAACTCTAGGACCAATGGAACTCTAGGACCTATGGAACTCTAGGACCTCTCCAACTCTAGGACCTATGGAACTCTCAGACCCATTCTGAATCCAAGTCTATACAGTAGTTATCTTGATTTATCTCCAACATGTGTGTCCTGAACAGTCCCTGAGTTTGCTGCGGTCGTGTGAAGGCTATAACGAGGTGGTTTTCCCGCACTGCTCCTGCGACTCCCGGAGGAAAGGTCACGTGATCACGGCCATCGGCATCAACCACTTCAAGCTCCACGCGTGCACGGAGGACGGGACGCTGGAGGTGACACACACACACATGCACACACATGCACCTACACACACACACACACACACACACACCTACACCCTACTGCTCTCTAACCCTAACCCACACACCAGGAGAATCTATCTAGGCGGGAGATACTTCAGTAGAACTAAAAATACAGTTTACATTTAAGTAGACATTTCTGTTTCTAGACATTTTATAAAACAAGTTTCAGAGATAAAAGTAACACATTTAAATATATACGTTTTTCTATTCCCCAAAAACGGTCAAATTAGCAGAAAAAAAACAAGTTTACACGGACACATGGGTCACCTTTAAGTTCCCACCAAGCGACTTCCTCTGTGACCAACGGTTGAGTGACGTGGATCGTGGTTTTAAGCCTGTGCTGCTGTGTCCAGAACCAGGTGATAGCGTTCGAATGGAGCGAGATGCAGCGCTGGGACACGGACGAAGAGGGAATGGCTTTTTGCTTCGAATACGCCAGAGGAGAGAAGAAGCCGCGATGGGTCAAAATATTCACTCCATATGTAAGTGTCCAACACAATGAAAAAGTGTCATTTATATCATCTTTATACGTGTTTGGCTACATTTGCTACTACTATTGAAATGATAACAATAACATTTGAACGATAATGAAGTGTTTTTGTGTGCTTAGAATGTGAATATTGTAGAGCAGGGGTCTCCAATTTTTGTCAATCGGAGAGCTACTTTTATACAACAGAAGAGCCAGAGAGCTACTTTTGTACAACAGAAGAGCCAGAGAGCTACTTTTATACGACAAAAGAGCCAGAGAGCTACTTTTGTACAACAGAAGAGCCAGAGAGCTACTTTTATACAACAGAAGAGGCAGAGAGCTACTTTTATACAACAGAAGAGGCAGAGAGCTACTTTTATACAACACAAGAGCCAGAGAGCTACTTTTATACAACAGAAGAGGCAGAGAGCTACTTTTATACAACAAAAGAGGCAGAGAGCTACTTTTATACAACAAAAGAGGCATAGAGCTACTTTTATACAACAGAAGAGGCAGAGAGCTACTTTTATACAACAAAAGAGGCATAGAGCTACTTTTATACAACAGAAGAGGCAGAGAGCTACTCCTGTTTAGTCATGATTAAATTATACGTAATAACTGACAAAACGTATATAGGTAAAAATATGTACAATAGGTCTGGCATGCGTCTCCTGTACTGGCCCCTCCCATCTCTGTGTGGAGTCAGACAAATGCCCCACAATTGTAAACCGCTTTGTGACTCTGGTCTGTGAAAGGCGGTATATAAATAAAGATTACTTACTACACTTACAGGAGTCCTTCTGTTGGGACAAACTAACAAAAATGTAGTATATATGAAAAATGTGTACCCCAGCTTTACTGTTGTGATGCGTCTTTGTCCACGTGTGTAAAATAGGCCACATTCCATTGATAAAAAGCTGCTAAAGTGTCTTGTTGCGTAGCGATTGTGTAGCACTGGTGAACTCAGAGTTGTTTTTCTTCTCGTCCCAGTTCAACTACATGCACGAATGCTTTGAGCGGATCTTTTGTGAGCTCAAGTGGAGGAAGCAGGTACGGGCCACTCCCTTCCTCTTTGTGTTTGAAGCGTTTAATAATAACCTGCTCCCAAAGATCCCAAAGTCTGAGTTTTACCCTCTGCTCCTCTGCAGGTGGAGGAGGAGGCGTCGGACAAAGACAACAAGAACTGCAGCAGCAACGGTGAGACGCCCGTGATGTCATGGTCTGTGTTTACGATCGCAGAGAAGCCAAAAACCCATGATTTCAACTTTTTATAGACAGGGGGTTTAGATCATCCTGGCCTTTCTCAACACAGACATAAGCAGCTTCTGAAATGGGCCGGACTTAAGCTCAAAAACCATATTCAAATGTAATTTATTAATATTAAAATTAGAATATATTCAGGCACAGTGGAGTTTGCATGTTCTCCTTGGACCTGCATAAGTTTCCTTCAGGTGCTCCGGTTTCTCCAACCACTAAAAACATGCACAATAGTGGGCCCTGTACTACGGCGACCACTGCTCCTGACTTAGTGACATGTAGTTCTCCATCTTGGAACATCTTTCCGGGCATCAGCACAAAAAGAAGAAAAGTGCTTATAAACATGGAATACCTGGAAACAGAATTGAAAATCCACTTTCTTGGCTCTGAAAACGTTTTGGAATCCTTTTAGACGTTTTAAATACCTAAAGAGCTTTCTGAACCATCCCATCCTGGAGCTACCTTGACTAAACAATAATATAAATTCACCAGACAACCAGAAAAACATTTGCATATTACCATAGCAACCGCTGCCATTTGTGGGTTGTGTCTGTGTTCTAATTGGCCTTCGCTCTGTGACATTCAATCCAATAAGTCCGCTCAGTGATGGATTACAGCTAGCTAAGAAACATTTCAGCTACTTATTTTTTGTGTGGCTTTTACTACCGTCTTGTGTGTGCGCTGCAACATTGAAATTTCCCCACGGTGGGACGAATAAAGGATTGCTTATCTTATGATTCCTCTGTGTGTCTCTGCAGAGTATCTTCCGCCATTGGAGACGCAGCAGAAGGGATGGCGCCACCTAGGGGGCGAGATTGCGACGTCCTAAAACCTTCCGTCCGCCCTCTTCTTTCGTCTTCTCCAAGTAGAAACTGGTCCACTAGCATTATCACCTCCACCTAAGAGAGAGCGCCATCTACAGACACCGCACGGAGACAGGACTGCGCTGGTCCCACGCCAAAACGTACAAAAGTGACCGATTTTGGGAATTGAAAAAAAAAAAAAAATAGATAAAAGCTCAACAATCGTGGGATACATGAAGGGACTTTGAACAGGAGCCAACCTTCACATCATTCTCCAGATCTCCATTAGTGTCTTTTGTTTGGATCAACACTCCCGCCGTGACGGTGGGGCCCTCCCCTGGATTCCCCTTCACCTCTAAAAAGGAAGGAGGCGAATGAGCGATCGGGACGGCCAGTTTCCCTCGAAAGCCGGTCCCGACAAACTGGAGCGTCTTTTTAGAAAGCGATTGGACAACACCGATGCTGGACATTGACTTAAAAATGTTTTGTACGCAGCGTCAGACGGAGAAAACATGTGGAGGCGTGTGTTAAGTATAGCAGGATAGAAAACTCACCATTCAAACTGCTATTACTAATCTTACTTTTACTGTTGTTTCACTACAGCAGGAAACGTCACGGCTGTCTTTGTAGTTCGTTTCCTCCCACACTCTTTCATTGTTTTCTTCTGCGTTGGCTGCGAGTAACTTTATGACTGACAATTTTGAACCAAGCTGTGTTTTTCTAAGCAGGCAGCAGAGGGCAGCAGAGCGTAAGGTAGAGGGAAGGCATGAGCTGTAAAGTCAGTTTAAAAAGGGGTCCCTGGAGTCCAGAGAATCGCAGGCACATGTCTCCTCCTCAGTATTATGTAGATTATCTATGTTCGTCTTGTCATTTTTAATTAACACTGGTATTCTTTCCTTTTGTCATTGGAGCAGCATTTCATGTCTGGTGCGTGAAGATGACGCAAAAGTCTATTGATCTAACGTCTTTGGCACTGCTGCTGTTTGGAGACATGTAATCGTGGCTGATTGGAATATTAATGATGCATTCAGTTCTCGCCGATGCAATAGATTCACTTATGCCGCTAAGGGCTACGTAACGACTATTGCAGATTACACAATATGCTTCTTCTTCCTGGAAAATGACAACCAAAACAACTGCACAGAAAGAGATACACAATGGCACGCACGGCTCTGAATAACCCCATCTTAGTTTTGCGTCAATAATAGTTTTTTCTTGCATGATTTGCTTGCTGAGCTGTATGTGTGTGAGCGTGTATGTTTATGTGTGTGTGTGTGTGTGTGTGTGTCCCATGTGTTTACTGGTGACTTTGCTGATAAGCGATTGTGCGCTGGGCTGCAAACAAAGATGGGATTTGGAAGCGCAAAGACGGAATGCAGATTAAGACGAACGAGAGACGTCCTCTATTGCCCCGACTGTCCTTTTGAGTCTGTTGCCAGAGAATGTTTTAAAAAAAAAAGTTTTAAAGATAACGGTAGCTCTGAAATTACCTCTGTTTTAAATAACGCTCACACTTTTTACAGCTGATTCCGCCCGCAGGACATTTGTTCATAGTTTTCAGTGGTGTTTGGTTGGCTCCGGAGAGGGGACGCAAGGCCGCTGTCAGATTTATGTCAAAAGTTTAGCTGGAAATTGAGCTGAGAAATGCTCATCTCGGGCGTGTGCTCATCGTGACAGCCAAAGTAATGGGCTGCCTTCGTGAGAGATGACGTCTGAATTGGACCGCCGCACTTTTATACCATTGTCAGAAAAGAGGCCACTCAATCCATAACTATCTGTAACGATTTCCAGGTTCTGTTGTGGTTGTTGCTGCTACCACAATATCACGCATTTCTCTCCGATATGATGTCAGAAAGCTGGACTGTAGGAGGCAGTAGGTCAAGGACGGTTTTTAAAAGAATATTCGAAAGCTTAACTTACAGGTCCGTAAAGAAATTAATGAATTTAAGATATATTTGATAAGTTCTCATCATTTACAACCTTTCTTTTTTAACTCATAAAGAAAAATCCAGAAAGATATTGGCCTCGTCTACGGCAGACTCTCGGTCACCTGATCACAACCCATTTTTAAGCTACCGATTCTTAAAAGTTTAATATATTTTAGTTTTTTATCATTTGCGTGGACTGAGACAAACACTTTTGTGTTTCAAGTCGATAATAACTTGAACAAAAAACGCCACAAACACAAAAATATTTAAGTTTTTCCGCCTCCATCTTTGCACTATGAGCCCAACGGAAATGTACCGACGTCGCAGGAACCTGTGTTTTTTAATGTCCGTCTTCTCTGTGGCCTGTGGAGCTGATATAAATATGCTTTGTCGAAAGAAAAAAAATAATCGTAGTTTATTTTTAGCTTGTTTTTACTAGAAGGGGCTGCGCAGTATTTAAAAAACATGCAAAAACGAATTGAAATCTGATGAATGATGACGAAGGATAGACAAATGTAATATATTATGCATAGCTTTACACTAAACATGTTATTTACTGAAGGATTCCAATTGTCAAAGCTAGGTCCTCATTTGAGCAAGTATCAAAACAAAAATGTGTAAACAATATCCTGAGCCGCTTTAGATCAATACTGAACTGCATCAGAAGAACTAGTATCAAACTTTGTGCAACCATAAAAACAACAATAATACGTGTTAAAATACACCGATTATTGTCCAAAAAACCTCGCCGTGGTTTTGAAATTAGCTTTAACTTTTTGCGAGAACCCTAGCGTTGATTCTCGCCCAAAGCGGCAAATTATTCCCAAATTTTCCAGAGAAAATCCTCCAAAACCCGAGCGAGTTTACAGATAAAGTATTTGCAGAATTTAGCGATTTCAAAACAATAAAAATGCTATGCAGCCCTTCTCGCGGTGCGTTTCGTCCGATGGAGTCCGCTGGTGTGGTCAGTATTTTGCAGACTCAAAGCCGTTGATCTGAATGTGAACGTCTTCTAAACGTAGCGACCCGTGATTGGCTTTTTGAATATGTTCTGTGTGTCTGCTGTATTGTTCTGCTGCTGCTGCTGCTGGTGCTGCTGGATGTCTTTTTCATGATACTGAATATTCCAGAAGGCACCGGGAATCAGCCGCGGTGCTCAGAAACTTCCACTGAGCCGCATGGAGCTGTCGTGTGTCTCGTGTCGAGGAAAATCGCACAAAAGAAGCCGTAACATTATGCGACCACTGACTGGGGAACGCACAGGGGTCTAGTCTGTGAAAGAAAAACAAAAATCATGTGTCGTTCATAAGTCGCTGAAATCCCAGACGAGATTCTGTTGAAATTAGCATCTGTTGATTTATTCATGAGAAAACTGAAACCAAATGTTGCGCGAAAAGACAGATATTTTGTTTCCTACACTGCAGAAAATTATGTTGTTCTATAATAACATAAGAATAATAATAATGTGTGATGGAAGCTGTGCGGCAAAAATTATCCAAATCTATTTATTTATTTTTATTTAGTCCAACATTAATATATTCTGTTATAGCCAGTCAAGCACTTATCCTACATTTGGACTGTCTCCAAAAAGATTAAGAAAATAGACATAATTTTTTGGCACAATTTAAATCTCAAATGTTTTATTGTAAGGAATTTATATTAACAGTTTAATTGTTTTTTTCCCCTGTTTCTACAATACCATGATTGGATAATAAAAAGGTCCTCACAACTCACAAGCTTTTAGTTTTTATATCACAATTTTTCCTTGATCTGCTCCAATCACTTCATTATGACTTGCATCTTGCACTTATTTATACATTTAGTTTTATGATTGTTTTTTTTGCCGTGCTTGAGCCACAAATGACATTCAGGTAACGCTTTGTAGCAAGCATTCTAACAATATATTACTTTAAAAGACAATTGTGATCTCCAAAAGTGGTTCTAATGTTATGGCTGAGTTTGTGTAAAGCAGAGAAAGGTCTCTCACATCCTCTGTTCTTCAGTTTGCAGCTTTTTCCACGAGCTTTCTCAAGGAAATGAAACCTCTGTCGCGAGTTGGAGATTTATAACCAGAGAGTGGACTTTACCAGCATCGAGGAGAGACTTTGAGTGGTCCACTATCGGCTGTACATCTCCATCTTAGGGCCACCAACCACACCGTGTGGTTAACATTTTGGCTCGAGATAAAAAAGGTTTGAAAGAAGCCATTTTTGTGAGAAAGCTCAAACCATCCCTAAACAAGAGGAGGCGGGTTAAGATTTGTTTTTCCTCAGATCTATGACAACGTCCTAAAAACAACACCCAAAGAATTGAAGGGAAAGGAATGTTAGCCCTAGCTTGATTGCTAGACCTGCTCCCAACCCCAGCAATCTCAGCAGGACAATAGGTCGGTGACATGCTAATGAGGTAGGATCGTTAGACCTGAGGTGATCGTTAGACTTGATCACGGCCACACCTTAGCATATTGCCGGTCTAATGTCTGCTAACAAAGTAGGCATGTTAGACCTAGCATGATCGTTACACCTGCTCGCAACCACATATCAGCAGACAATGGGTTAGTGACATGCTGGGGTATTTTGCGCTAGGATCGTTAGACTTGCTCCCAACACACACATTAGCAGACCGTAGATGTGTGGATGAGTTAGCCTCAGGTTCAGGGGGGCTAACCACTCCCACAGGTTATACATCTCCAAATCGTGGCTGAGCTTTCATTTTGTTGAGAAAGTTCTTTGGCTCAAGAACCAAACGTGGGAAAACCTGCAAACCGACGTACAGATGACGGGTGAGGAACCTGTGTTTGTTTTTTAATGTAACGGCTGAGTCAGTGAATGTTCTGGTGTCAGTTGGAGGCGGCCGACCTGCAGCAGACGTGACGACGGGTGGATGTATGTGCCGTTAAGTGTTAGAATTTGTGTATTTTTGCGTTGAGACTTTTCTTCCCGACTTTAGACTCTGATTGAAACGCATTGTTTGTCTGTCTGCAGCATAACCTGTAAATAGTTGTTTTAAAAAAAGTTAAGAGTATCCTTTGGACAAAAATGCACTCTTGTTTCTCCAAGACTTTTATTTATTTAAGCAGAAATTATAACATTTGGGGA